ACCTAACCCTTAACTGTACCCCACAAAACCATAATAAAAAATACTGATTAATGAAAAAAAAAAAAAGCATCATCAACAAGTTTTAGGTAACTATATAAAGCCAAATCAGGATTTTTATTCACAATAATTTATATCTATTAAAACAAAAGCTTGTGTAATTCTGAATTCATATTCCCAGTAAGAGTTTCTGAGCAGCGTTTAAAAATTTGCATAAAAGAATGTAATTTTTCTCTTAAAAATTTTAGTTACAAAATTTAATTTTATTTATATATGAGAAAAAAATAGAATCCATTGCCATTACCCATTTATCCTCAAATACCAGTCAACAAAAATAAATTCTCTTTTGCTAAATGGGTTACCTTCTGGTTTTATTTACTACTCTTTCAAAATTGAAGTGAAGTACATATAACGTAAAATTAACCATTTTAAAGTATTTAAGTTTATAGGCACTTACATTCACAATGCAATGCAACCACCACCTCTATCTAGTTTCAAAATTTGCCACCTGTTCTTGTTACATGTCTGCCTTACTAGTCGGGGAACTGAGTTAAACCCCGTGTAGGTTTGCCTCAGCTGGCAATGGACTTTTTACCAAACGATTTTTTGCATAAGCTGCTTAAAGGCACTCATCCCCTCCACCTCTTTCCTCTGCTGCCCCCTGTGGGCCACTTCATGATTTATTCACAGAATGGATAAATTGCAAATAAATCGGATTTAACTGTTTAGGAAAGTTTTAGAGTTTCTTTGCATGGGACATTAGATTGAAGAAAGATTTAAAAAAGTAATGAACACTTGGCCAAAGTGAAGTTTTGGAATATAAAATGTCAATTTCATTTTTCCAGATTAGTCTTCTCCCTCATTACTAAAGTAACTCGTTGATTTTAGTCTTTGATATCTCTATGCAGTATAGTAACAATATCTTACATTTATCTAGCCTTTTATATGCTGCAGGCTGTTTTTATTTTTTGTTTTAGTTTTAGCTTTTCTTCTTCTCTTTGTTTTTTGTTTACGTTTTTGTACTTGCTTTGTTTCTGTTTTAATTTTTTAAAAAAGATTTTCTGTTTATGTATGGGCATTTTTGAGGGAGAGTACACTAACAGGGAGGGTTTTGCTTGTGTGATTATCTGTATGTTTTTGTCTTTTTTGTGTTTTCTGTCATTGTTTGTCTCTGTTTATTCATTAGTTGGTTTGCCTGTTTTCCCTCTTCTTCTCCCTCTCAACCTCTCTTTCGTCTTCCTCCTGTCTTTTTCCATTATTTTCCCTTTACTTATTTCACTTTGCTTTCAGGGGGAAAAAAGACATACCCACTGTATGGACAGATTGTAAGGCAGTGGGAAGTGGGTTCCAGGGGGCCCACATACCTGTCTGTGGATACTGGATCTGCAGATAGCTTCTGCAGGCTGTTTTTATAACTATTCTTATTTTATCATCTTTTTTTTTCTGAGCTGGGGGTCTCACTCATGCATGGGGTTAAAGCCTACCACCTAGCTCTCATTCAGGAAGGAAAGCAAAAACAGAGGTGAGGGTACAGCGGAAAACCCAGGAAGAAGCGTGCCAGTCAGCTCAGACATCCTGCATCCCCGAGCAGACTGCACTGGGCCACGAGTTGCCCCGCTCCATCTGACTTTCACCTCCCTTGCTGTTAGTGGCTTCAGAAGCTAGCTACCTTGTCTTGCGTGTGCAGGTGCCAGGTTAGTGTCGCTGCTGTTTTATTTCCCCTGGAGCAACTGGTTCCCATCCTCCACATTTGGAGTTTGTCTGCAGAGGGTCCTCAAAGCATCACTAGGCACCTGGGAAATGTTGCCTCATGACAAGGACCTCTGATCACCTAAGTGTGGACATAAACTAGTCAAGCGCGCCTCCTGCTGGTGAAAAAAGAGTTACGTCGATGTGGTCCTGCCCTTGTCCTGAAGTACCCTTGACCCTTGAACAGGGTGAGGATTAAGAAGGCCCACCTTCGCGAGCAGTTGAAAATCTGCATATAACGTTTAACTCCCCAAAACCTTAACCGTTAAAAGCCTATTGTTGACCTGAAGTCTTATAAACAATTAACACATATTTTGTATGTTCCATGTATTCTTGCTGTATTCTCACAGTAAAATAAGCTAGAGGAAAAAATGTTATTTAAAAATCATAAGGAAGCCGGGCTCGGTGGCTCAGTCTGTAATCCCGCGCCTGTGGGAGGCTGAGGTGAGTGGATTGCCTGAGCCCGCGGGTTCGAGACCCGCCTGGGCAGCGAGACCTCATCTCTACAATAAATCAAAAAAAATCAGCTGGGCGTGGTAGCGCATGCCTGTAATTCCGGCTACTTGGAAGGCTGAGGCGGAAGGATCGCTAGAGCCCAGCAGGTCGAGGCTGAGGTGGCCGGGAGCAGCCACTGCACTCCAGTCTGGGCGACAGAGTGAGACTCCAACTCAAAAAAAAAGAAAAAAATGAAAAGTTATCCTTGGTGGATGACAAGAGTCCACTGTGCTATTTATGATTGCAAGGGATCAAGAGTAGGGCTGATGACAATGCTTGGCTCACAGAGGTCAATCAAAGCCTTCTTATGGCCTCTCTATACAGGATATTTTTAGTCATCATTGCCCCTCAGTTCCTTTTCTTCCACCTTTCCCTGCACATGAAAGTCCAGAGTTTC